CTCGAGCTGTCATCAAAACAGATTGTTTTCCTTGACACTGAAGTTTTTAAAGGACCAAGATTCATTCAAACACATTTTGAGACCTCTTAAGCCGACAGAAACGTTTCAAAATACGCATTTCTCCTCATTTTACCCTCTCAGCGTTAAGAAGGCCGGCTTTGCATATGGAGATGCTGTGAGCTCGAAACGTTACTCACAGGATGATCGTTTTAATAATCCCACGTTAAGACAGAAAATTCTTGACGCGCTTTAAGAAGTTTCGCTACGATAATGATGCTCACGACGATAAGGATGTAAACAAAGTTTATTGAACCGAAGCGATGAGACGTTAACAATGTTGAAAAGAAGCGATGCGAAACGAAGCGATTATTAGGCAGTGTAGACGAAGAAAACCATGTACAAAGCGGTTTCGAAAACTAAGAAATAAAAACAGCGAAAACTTTAGTTAGATTAACCAGAAACTACCTTAAAACTACGAAAACAAACTTTGGATTTCATTAATACGATTCAAAAAGGCTTTATAAAACGTAACATATCATGCAGAAAGTGAAAAGACTTACTTCTGTCTTTAGGACAGTTTTAGGGATTTCACAGCGTTGACGTTGAGCCTTACTTTCAGGATCTTAACACGATGACACGTTGACTAGAACTGAAGAAGTTTCTTGAGCACGTTCGACAATGCTAACTAATACAAAGGATAATAGATTTCTTTGTTTGTAAATCGTACGTACGCAGGTATATCCGCGGCAAAAACCACAACTACTATAAGATAATAACGCAAACGAAACTACAAAGGGTTTGATAGGAAATACCTGGGAAATACGAAAAACAGGAAAATATTCAGGGGCACCCAACGAGGATATAGTTCAAAACCACTTAACATAGCATTGTTGAACGTAGTTTAGTATTCAAACGGTAGATATAAGCATATTTTTATACCCTAAAAACTTTTCATCTGTTCGGATTTCCTAGCTGAAAGTCTAGTGATCCGAAAATTATAGGGATAAAAACTTACCTTCTCGAAAACTTCAGCCAGGAAAAGGCTCCCGAAAATTCTAGGTGGCCTTTTTTAGGGCCAAAATCCGTTAAAAATGGGTAATTATACCATTTTGTCGATGTTCGAAAATCCTAGGAGAGGCAGACAAGAAAGAAATTTTACAACAAATGCTCCGAAAATTCTAAATCTCAAATCGTCTTCCGAACAGATATTTTCCCGAAAATTGCCGTTGGGTGCCCCTGAATATTTAGCGGTAACAGAAGCCTAGCGCTTATTTAGAACAAACTCGGTTAAGGAATAATTGAAGTTAAAGAAGAAAGAATTTTTAACTCGCCTTACAGAACGAGGCTACCTCCGGGACCTTGTGGAAACAATCCTAACCGAAGTCCGCTTCGAATCGCGCACTGTGGCTTTAAAAGACAAACCCAAAACATCAAAAAAGATTTTGCCGTTTGTAACGACTTTCAATCTTGCAACTCCGATTCTCAAAAATATTCTAATAAAACACTAGCACCTTATTACAGGCAAAAAACACTCGCGCAAATATATCCTAACGCCGACAATGTTCCTTATCGCAAGGAAAAGATCTCTAAAAGATTTTCTTGTTAGAGCCAACATTTCTTCACTTTAACAACAACCTTAAAGGAGTTATACACGGTTATACGGTCGAGTGACAATATCATTAGACCAAAACATGGCACGTAGTTCGCATTATATACCTGCAGCTGGTCCGTGTTTTATATACACCCAGTCTGCAGTCCGTGGTCCGCAGTTCGCAGTCCGCAGTCCTTCATCTAAAACGCTCTACCCTGCGTCAGGGGCACCCAACGGCAATTTTCGGGAGAATATCTGTTCGGAAGACGATTTGAGATCTAGAATTTTCGGAGCATTTGTTGTAAAATTTCTTGCCTGCCTGCCTCTCCTAGGATTTTCGAACATCGACAAAATGGTATAATTACCCATTTTTTAACGGATTTTGACCCTAAAAAAGGCCACCTAGAATTTTCGGGAGCCTTTTCCTGGCTGAAGTTTTCGAGAAGGTAAGTTTTTATCCCTATAATATTCGGATCACTAGACTTTCAGCTAAGAAATTCGAACAGATGAAAAGTTTTTAGGGGATAAAAATATGCCTATATCTACCGTTTGAATACTAAACTACGTTCAACAATGCTATGTTAAGTGGTTTTGAACTATGTCCTCGTTGGGTGCCCCTGCTGCGTAGCGTAATGCTGCAAGGTTACAACAAAAGCGTACTACCAGTGAAAAAACATTCAGCTCATTTCTTTGAAAACGTCTCGGCCATGATACAGGCAGGCCTTAGATTGCCGTTGGCTTAACATTTCCTCTAAAGACAGCTCGACCAAGACACGGAACACTCGTTCACTTTAAGACGACCGCCATCTTCTTTGCAGTCGCGCCACTTCCGGTTTTACCCTCCCCTTCCATGACAGGTATTTTTGCAATTTGGTCGGTTGGCAATTTTGTTTTTCATAAATACGAAAATCAAAAAACGATTTTTATTTTGGATTTCACCAGCAGTAACACCGTTTCTTGCAGAATTTGCTACTCAAGAATTGCTTTGTTAAGTTTGAATTTTTAATAGCTTGAATCTTGGGAGGAGGAAATTGAAAACAAAAAGTTAAAACCACTAACTGGCCATTTTCAATTTTTAGTTTTTGATGTTCAAAATATTGAAGTATGATGTTCAATTTTATCTTTCTTAGCAACAAACATTGAAAATTGAGATTGTAAATTTTTGATTTTCACTTTTTGAGGATCAAACATTGAAAATCACGATTGCGAAGTTTTGATTTTCAATTTTCAATATTGAATGAAAATCAAATGGACGAAAACCACACAAACCAATCTTGACCTGGTTTGACTGAAATTCCTGTCATTCCTCCTTCAGAAACCTGCGAATTATTCTGAGCGATCTTCGCTTTCACAACACTTTTCAGTTCGTGAAATATGGTGCTTCAGCCTAATTTTTTTCAGAGCTTTCGGCAGAGAACGAAGTCAACGAGCTCTTACCAGTAAATTCTTTATTTGCAGCTGTTAAATAAAGGTACGGCAGCTCCAACTAGCAGTATTTCATCACACACACACACACACACACACACAAAAAAACATTTAAAAATTTTCTTAGGAAGCGCCATCTGAGCGTATTTAAACATTTTCTTTTCCCTAAAATTTATTTCCAAAGAGCCATTATTCCCGCTAAAATTTGATTCCCTTCTGGTAAACGCTGATTGGCTAATAACATGACAGGTCAAGCAGACGTTAGATTACGTAAATTAGGGGGCGGTTGATGGCTTGTTAAATAAATGTATCAGGCGTTATTTTTTTTCTCTCTCGCGCCAAAAAAGCAAAGAAGCAAAAAAAAATAACGCCTGATCTCAGGTTTCGTCTTACGCAGTGAAAGACTTGAATTGAAGGAAGCAAGAAATCGATGTATGAACCTTAAAATTGCACTAGCTTAAATCGGTCAGGATCTCTTTCTAGTGTTAAACAATACCAACAGTGATGAAATTGTCACAGCGTTGGCGAACAGCGTTCAGCTCGGACCCCGGGGGGTATTCCCTTACATAACCTATATAGGTATGTGCTGCTCCATCTGGAAGGGTTTTTGCGCCTTTTTGTATGAAAACGTACGGGTATACACTTTGCCCATTTTGGTCTGGAATCGGGTATAGTTTTTGGGGGAACTATGGGATTGTATGAACGTCTTTATCGTTTCAATTCCAAATGAGCAAGAAAGAAAAATATGCGAATTAGAAATGGATTTGAAGAATTTTTTGTTTGGAGCAGTTTTGTTGTGTTTCTATATATAGCTTACAATTTTTAGATTTACAAATTTTCTGCTCGGCTTTACTTGCCGTTCTCCCGAAGTCCTTCGCGAGGTCCTGCGATTTACGTATTTCTAGTCTAAGTAATGATAACATAATTTCTGCCTAAAACAAGAGAAGATAGATCAAGAAGACGGTGGGGAGAAAGTCGGCAGAGAAGATGCAAATGTTGAGACTGGAGAGATGGTCGACGGAAAAGACGAAGGACGTTCTGATAATGAAGAGGGAACACCTCAGGCAGTGAAGAGAAAGACAAGCGATTTGAAGAATATTGGGCTTAGCCAAGCTCAGAAAAGAAAGAAAGAAGACGGGGAAAATTTCGTTGAAGATATATCAGATGTTAAGGGAAGCAATGAGCTTGTTGAGGAGGAGAAAGACTTGAAACAGCAAGATCAGGATAGATCCGAAGAAACTGTCACTTTAAGAACCGAGGAAAATGAATTAAGTCCTCAAACAAAGGAAGAACTTTCGCAACAAAAGAACAAAGAACAAGAGCAAATTAAAAACGAAGAAAATCCACGCGTGTTGCACGCGAGCGATGACACGCGTGATGAAGAGATTTGGAAGGAAGCTCACGAACTGCGTAGTTCGCTGATGAAAATAGTCAAAGATGTCAAATAGATGAAAGAAACCGAGGGAGATGATGAGAACGAGACACAAGTTGAGAAAACTGAAGTTGTCGAACCAAACACCGACAGTGAAGGTGCTTTAATTGGATCGCAAATGGAGGCGGGTGAAATTGATGAAAACGAGGCTGAAATATCTGCTGAAGAACAAGGTGCGGAACAAGACTTTGACGATAAATCGTACGAATCAGCCATCACAGTCGTGTCTGTCGAGCAGTTGCCGAGTCAAGAAACAAAGATCGTGCGCGATGATACGCCACTCGACAAGGAAGGAGCAACTGCGCAAATCGAGACTACACAAGTCACTGATCCTGAAGTCGAACCAGTGGCAGAAGATTCAGAAACTGGGAGACATCACGAATAGAAAACACAACAGAACCAAAGACCGAAGAACCCAAAGAACACTCAGAGACCGAGACATCACAAGTCACCAAGCAACCAAGCGAAGAAGAGAAACTTACGACTGACCCATCTTTGGATGTTGAAGAGGAATGGTACGATTCCGATTCCACAATCGTGTCGGTCAAGCAAATGCAAAGTGAGGAACCACAAATCGGAGAGGCAGTTTCACAGGCCGAGAAAATAACGGAACCGAAGGCCGAAAATCCTGAAGATGTTTCGGAGCCCAAGAAAAACCAGTTACAGTTAGAACAAACATTAGAAGTAAAGACTGAAGAAGCTGAAGAACAAAAAGAAACAGAAATATCAAAAGTCAGTGAGTCACCAAAGGAAGAAACCGAACAGCAGACAGCAGAACCCGGAGATACACTGCCAACCGACAAACCGCTGGACTCGGAATCACAAGTTCAACAAGCAAATAAAGTTGAGACTTTAAATATCTGAGCGGTGTGTGTGGAACACTTTAGTTGATGTAAAGAAAACGGCGACAGGACCAGATAACCTCCCGTACTGGATCTGGAAAGACTGTGCTGAGCTACTCACACCTGTCGTTACTCATGTTTGGAATTGGTCGCTTTCTACTCATACATGGTCGGACTCTTGGAAGAGGGCAAATGTTAATCCTCTCCCCAAAGTGGACATGCCTTTAGAGGACTCAGACTACCGTGGTATCAGTGTTACTCCCGTTGTTGCGTGGTTGTTTGAGAAGGTCGTGTATCGTGCGCAAGCACAGTCATTCATTGAAAACAGTCTGAGCCACACCCAATTTGCATATAGACAGGCGGGTAATTGCACAAATGCCTTGCTCGCTATCCAGCGCTATATATACAAGTATTTAGACAGTAGTGACTGTAGCGCAGTGCGAATTTTTACTATGGACTTCAGTAAGGCCTTCGATTTTGTGAACCATACTATTTTGTCTGCCAAACTGAAACAGCTATCCCTAAATCCGTACATTATAGGAACCGTGACCCGTCTGCCGACTTAGTAGGACAGTTCTTAGCCTGGTGCAAAGACAATAAAATGGTCTGCAACCCTAGTAAATATAAAGAGCTTGTTGTTAGAAAGAAAAATCACAATGTACTCTACTCTCCAGTTAACAATATTTCTCAATGTAATAGCTACGTTTTACTAGGAGTAACTCTACAGAGTGACGGGAAATTCAATGAGCATGTAAGAACCAAGCTTGTCAAAGCAAACAAGTGTTTACACGTCCTACGAACACTAAGAAGGAACACTACTCTCAGGAAGAGATAGATCACCTTTTTATATCTATTGTTTTACCTAATTTTAGCTATGCGCTTTCAGTCTATGGGGCATCGGAATCCGATCTTACGGTTATAAAACATTTTTTAGACCGAGGCCATAAACGCCGTTTTATTTCATTTCCAGTTTTTATCAAGAATCTTTTAAATAAACAAGACCAAAACATTTTAAAGAAATTAATATTGCCACCCACTAAAAGATATCATTCCTGTCCAGAAGACGTATGTACATAATCTTAGGAAAAAAGGCTGCGTACGCCCGAAAATTAATACAGAGCGTTTTATGAACACCTTTGTAAATAGGTTGATTTTTAAGCTCCATTTATTGTAATGATACACTTTTTTAATATATACATGTAACGTAGATATTTTTATCATAGTTTTTATCTTCTCTTATTGTAACATAAGATATGTAGTTTTATCTTTTGGTGAAATAAAGACTCATTATTATTATTTCAGACACTGAAGAAATACGAGCCATCGCCGAAGAAGCAGTGCCGGAAAGCGAGGGTGACGGGCCGAAATTCGAAAACAAGACCGAATCAAAGGATGTAGATGCTGAAGAAATGCAAGTCAGTATGGAAGCTGACTCAGTGAAAGCCGAAGATAACAAAGAACCGAGGACGGACAATCGCGAAGACTCATCGGAACCCGAAAAATCTCAAGTCATCGAGTCAAAAGTGCAACAAGAAGCTAGCTTGGACACGTCACCAGTTTCAAGGTCGCAGGCTGAACAAGAAACCGAGCCAACGACCGAAGATACGGAGGAGACACAAGCCATCCAAGGAATACCTTCAGAGAGCGAAGTGGCGACATCACGGGTCGAGTATAACGCCGAACCGAAGGAAGGTAGCACCGAAGGAAAACAAGCAATCGACAAAGAACCAGCCTCGGAGAAGGTGAAATCAAAAGCAACCAAAACAAGCACGAAAATGGATAAACTGCTTCAAAGGCGTATAGTGGAGAGTGTTTTAACAGAACCGGAAAATGACGAGAAAAATGCCGATGAGGAGATTGTCATGGAGCTGACTGAGAATAAAAGCAAGAAAGACAAGAAATGCGAAAAGGAGACCTGGGTCATGGTACAGCACTTTGAAATGACCGATGAAATAGCTCGACAGTTGGGTCACATGCTCACACTCAATGCCTTCAAAAGAACCACCACCTGTTGTACGATTATGTGATTGTGTGAAGAAGTGAATTCAGATGTGCGACTGGAACGTCAACTTTTTGTGCGGCACTGAAAGGCACTACTTTGCTTCGTTATTACTGAACTGAACAATGCTTTAGGATCTTAAGAACAATGCTGGGACGTTATGGATGGGAGAGTGTTTCTGGATCTGACCGTAAACTGCTGTTAAGGTACCAGACTGGAACGAGGTGAACTTAATTGTTCTATTAACTCTGCAAACTAAGTTATTTACATTCACAAGACTGTGCAGGCGATGATTCCAGAAATTCAATTGGCGTGGCGTCCCATAGAATTATACCCCAAAGGTACCGCATAGGTACGCAAGGAACTGATATTGCTCCAAGGACTTTGATCACTTAAACGGACGCTAAGTAAAATTTGGATGAAGAATAGGCCAGTTTCGAATTCACAAAATTCATATATTGCCTCCAAGGCAGAGGGGAATAAAACAAAAAAAGAAATGGATTATTCACCCATGAATCTCAATGCAATTTCTGTGTTTTATGCCCCTAGCATAAGAGCCAATTGTGAATTTTAATCATTCAAAACTGGCCTATTGCAGTTTCAAATACTGAACCTTGTTTTTTTAAAAAAAGAGCCAAGACATTTCGAGCTTGGAGAAGTTTCTACCGATCGAGAAGAGGTTCAAACATTTAGTCCTAGGAAGAGAGAGCACGATAACATATTTCGGTAAAACGGGATTCAGATTTGGAGTCAACGACAGCAAAAATCAAACCTCCTTAGGTGAACTGATCAGGCTGCGTAATGAATAGAATTTCGGGCATGAAATGGGTTCTTAAACCAATGTTATTGGATTAGAACCTTTTCTAGTGTAGCATGCTTGTAGCTTTAAGTCTGCGCATGTAGATTTTTCCGATACTGTTTTTGTTCGATATGTTACAAAACGCAAATTGGTAGGTTTTTTGGGGGGTTTTGAAAGGTAAAAAAACATATGTCACTGTATGATCGTAGAGAAGGGAAAGAGAAGGCGCACGTCGTATTTTCCCTTAGCTTGTTTTGCAAAGTTCATACTCCTCGAGATCCTGGCACAGATTAAGTTTCAAGCAGTTCGTTAAGCTCTTTTTCTCCGTGCAGCCTTACTTCACCCACTCAATAACTATTTGAACGCTTGCAACAGGCTTTCATTGACCGTAAGGTGTTAGTTAAAGACATGGGAAAGAAAAGTTCGCCATTTGCACATCTCCAGTAATACACCTTGTTTGCGCCCCCAAATGTTGAATATGCATTGTCTTCAGTTTTTCCTGGGACGTCTGGAATACTCGGGAGAAAATAATAATAAAAAAAGGTTATTCACAATTTGGGGGTGGGGGTGGGGGGCAAACAAGGTGTATTATGGGAGATGTGCAAATGGCGAATTTCTTACCTTGATTTGTTAATCTAACTGATAAGTAAAACCCGGAAATTTCAAGGAAAATATTGGAGATAATCAAGATTGAGTGAGAGTATTGAATAAGCTAACGATATATACTCAAAAGCTATTAAGTTGACACAGGATCTAATTATGTTTAGAAACAGTGTGCAAAAATTAATCTCTTTACTATTGTAATACAAAAACACAATGAAGACAGAGAAAGAATTTCGGGAAATTTGTAACCGGTGACAGATTCTATTTATTGGAATTTACGACATAATTATTTATAGCTTGGGCTTGCATTGCATACTAATTTTTCCGCAATAAATATATTTTGGAACATAAAAGAACACTGCATTTTACTCGGCTTACGCTGGTGAATGTATCACGGTTATCGACCTTCTCACTTAATTTGCAACGGGGCAGGGGTGGAGGGGGAGGGCCAAATGATCACAACACTTCGGTGGACCGTGGCCGATTTCCTGGACTGTTCATAGTCCCCTATTTTTCCATAAGATCGTCGAGCTCGAGCGCTTACCGTTATGGGCGTCCATGTCGGATTCAAATTTCCGAGGAGACGGTTGTCGGTGTTTGTAACGGTGAGAGAAGGGTGCCCTCCTAACAAACGTCTCCCGCCTTTAAAGGTGATGTTACACGGGACGATTCGCAACGACGATTTTTAGCGAGGCACAGCATTACAACATTGTTGCGAATGGTTACAACATTGTTCCAACATTGCTGTGTTGCGCTCAAAATCGTCGTTGCGAATCGTCTCGTGTAACATCACCTTTGGTAGATTTGATACTGCTTTCCAGGATAGAAACCCCACATGTGAAACCAATATCGCAGCCCGTAAGGGTTGGTTCTCGGGCTCAATCATCTTGAGGAAAAAACAGGGAACTGTGAAAAGTCTAGCGGTCTCCCTTTACGAAGGTTTCTCGATTAGCTGTGAAACAAGTAGAAGCGACTTTTTATCAAAATGTTCTATTTGTAAACTTCTCTGATTTATTATATGCCACGTATATTTTACAAATTGATATTCAATATTGCTATGATATTATTTACAATAATTCACTTATTATGACAAAAATGGTAATATCAGGTTGTAGTTTAAAAATTTCTCATTGCATGAGATTTGGTCACTTTTTAGTAATTTCTCTCTATAAAGTGGATTCAAATCTACCTACAACTGTCTGCCTATCTCTTCGAATAAAATAAAGAAAATGTAAGACAACGCCTTACGGAATAAAATCGAATGTAAATTCTACATTTCAAAAAAATATTTTTCGTATGGCAGTAGATCTAGATTTTCTCGAACGCCTATAATCTGATAATATTCGTAACAGTTAATTCCTGCCTTAAAACAAGCAGTTAAGACTGAAAAAATTCAAATATCTACACAATAAAAAAATCATTGGCAACATCATAAAAAAAAAAAAAAAATAGTCCTTTGAGAGGACACATACTCCCTAGCACTCCAGTAATCATTAAAAGAGAAAGAAGCAATCTTTTAAATTCGTCAAAAAAGGGCAGTAGGCATTGAATCCGGTACCTTTGCTAAGAGGGTTACACGTTAACGCCGTGCGCAACAAGGGCAAATGAAACGGTGCCTTCGGGCAATAAGCCAGTGAGAATAAGCATAAAAGGAAAACCAACATCAAAAACACGTCTACATAACTTTCGGTGTTCGGAAAAGGCTACGCACCAGAGATTTTCCCTCCCATAGTTCACAGACAATTCTCGAAAAAAGCACTTCTTATCGCTTAGTTTTAGTTAGTTTTCGCAAATATTGATTCGTATTGATTCCGTTAGATGCTTCGTAATAAAGCAGTTAATAAAAAGAAATTTTTGCACTCCCACTAGACCAGCAGTGGGTGGAAAAGAGAATTCTGTACAAGTCTGAAAATAAATTTCCTACGATAACACTTCAAGATAAAGTCTTGCGACTCGATTACAAAATTCAGTCGCATTGATGTGACTACATTCACATTTACAGACTACATACACACTTACAGTTACTTTGGTAACTGGTCGTTTCGCCTACGGTCTGTTCGCTTTCGCCTAGAGTCGATTCACCTACGTCTTATATGTCAGTTCACCTACGAATCTGAATTATTAAAAGTCCTTGCTCCTGATCCTTGCAGCCTAAAAAGACAACCATGCAACAAAGGTCGATACATTCTATCCTCGATGTCTAGAAAAGCAACGCGCTAAAACACTTAGGTTGAAATGTTTTAAAAATCTATCGGAAACTGGTCGTCTACGAGTAGAATTGAAAAACTGAGCATTAAGATGTGTATTATTCTGGCTACACATTAGAGAAGCCCTGACAGACAGAATTCCAACAAACAGCGTGGCGTTGAAAGAGCAGTATTCAGTTAGACAGTCGAAACGTAGCCTTGTTCAGACGTGCAGATAGTAGAGTGCTGGAGAAAAATTCACGAAGGGAAAAAAAATCTCCCTTCGTTATTTCACCTCCGTTTTCCAGATGTACAATTTAACTCGCTTCTCACCATCTGACAACCGCGCTCTACTATCTGAACGCCCGGAACAGGCTAGTTGAAACGACGACAAACGACTCATTAAGATGAACTGAAACTGGCTATCTACAACGGAGACAAGCACAAATGCAATGGTAAAATATCGATAAAGACATAGCTTCCTCCTAAATACGTCAGTGAAACAAGGTGTTTAAAAATTCAATCTAGGGACCAGGTATCCCCCGCCCCCGAAACGGGCCTCATTATTATACAACTATACCCATCATTACTGTAATGTTAAGTCTGTCAAGTTCCCAAATGTAGAATAGTTCCACATATCCGACTAAAAATTGATTCTTTGTTTGTTTTTCTTTACGTATATATCGACTCCTGGCATAGTATTCTTTTTTGCGAATGGTAAATTCCTATGAAAACCTCACAAACGTATTCAAACGGATGTCTGCTATAATTTCAGAGTCCAATTGTGAGAGGTTGTTTTTGTAGCTTTTCGAGTAGAGCAGCCCCAAATACTATTTACAACAATAATAACATGAGCTAACAACAACATCACACCTAAACTAAATCTGTTAGTTTTCTTCTACGCTTTCTTCCCACTTTTTTGAGCCTACTTCAAAGTACTGCATCTTATTTCACCATTCGCTATTTAAATCATTTTCTAAAAGAAGAGGACCTACTCTAATTAAACCTATAGACCTGACATTTCAACGGTTTGGTTAGGGCTTGTTACACAATAGCCAGCGAGCAAACTCTATATCGGTTCTTTTTGCTCGGCTTCGGAATTGTTTACATAAAAATCGTTTCGGGTGGTTTTTATTCGTCACACGGTCACAGCTCACACAGCCTACGCACCCCGAACTAGTTATAAATATTTATGTGATCGGACGGCGTCAATAAACGACATAAACCAATCAGAATTCGAGCTAGGGACTCAAAGCCCTGGGGACGAGGTTGGTGATAAGAGTGGTAAACAAACAAAAGTTACTGAGGGTGGGAGGACCTACCACAAGTGCAGCGTCTAAGATGTATAATCTGCACCAAAAGCAAGAGAAGAACCCTTTACCATGGCAATTTATGTTTGCTTCTCAATAACTTTAAAGCATAGCTGGTGTGATTGCTTTA